ATTTATTTGAGAGAGAGAGAATGAGAGACAGAGAGCATGAGAGGGAGGAGGGTCAGAGGGAGAAGCAGACTCCCTGCCGAGCAGGGAGCCCCATGCGGGACTCAATCCTGTGACTCCAGGATCATGACCTGAGCCGAAGGCAGTCGCTTAACCAACTGAGCCACCCAGGCGCCCGGCAAAGACAGTTTCTGATGTATTTCTATATCCTCAGACCTTAGCATATAGCAGGTACTCAATAAAAAGCCTCAGTTACTGCTTGTGTTACACATAATACATCCTACACTATCTCATACTGTCATCTTCAGTTGAATAAACAACAAGTTACTAGAAACCCTGATCTTTAAAGACTTGGCTTATATGCCACCTACTTCAAGAAGCCTTCTAGGAACTCCCACCCCACCTATTAGTTGTTCTGATATGATCCTTATTATACTCTGCCTTGTTTTTAAGAGTTAATTAAAGGCTTTTCTCTACCCCACCACACTGTAAAATCCTTGAGGACAGGGGACTGACTCATTACTACACCCCACTCACAGGTTAACCTACCACAGAATAGGCCTCAATAAATGTTTTTGCCCAGAATTGGTCTTCCTTTCTCAGTCATGGTGGCTTCCCACACCAACAAACCACAACTCTAATCAGGCCCATGACCTTGTCACCATTATCATAGCAGTCCCCATTTATTTATTTATTATTATTTTTGAAGATTTTATTTATTTATTTGACAGAGAGATAGCAAGAGAGGGAACACAAGCAGGGGGAGTGGGAGAGGGAGAAGCAGGCTTCCCACTGAGCAGGGAGCCCGATGCAGGGCTCGATCCCAGGACTCTGGGATCATGACCTGAGCCGAAGGCAGAAGCTTAACCGATGAGCCACCCAGGCGCCCTGCAGTCCCCATTTAATATACCAGGATGGCCAACTGAACAAGGCCCATGATGGAGTAAGCCTCACCTAATTTATAGACCTTTGCCAAAATGGGCAAACCATCCCAGAAGTGCCCCCAGAAACTCCTGACTCTGCTCAGACCCCTTTTTACAAGGTTCAGCCACAAAGAGCCAGCCATGTAGGTCTGGTGAACAACCACTTATTCAACAGTCTCCATGGGTCTCTTTCTGCTGTTATTCTTTTTAACTCAAGGGAGGAGGGGAGATACTGTTTTAAATTACTCTACCAGGTAGAGTAGTAATTTGTAGTAATTTGACTTTTCTATTTTACATTATCACATTTGAGCTTCACAACTCTAAAAGGTATAACCCCACTTTATAGATGCAGTAAATGAAGATTATAGGGGGAAAAAAAGATTATAGGGGTTAATTGATTTGCCCAGTTATACAGCTAATAACCAAAGCAGTATAGCATAGTGGAATAAACAGGGCTTAGACACCAGAAACATCCAGGTTACAATTCTGGCTCTACCATTTACTAGCTGTACAACCAACCTTAGGGTTGTGGTGAGGATGAATGTGATAACATATATGAAAATACCTAAAGATGGAGGTAGTTGTAGATGTAGATGTAGGTTAAGAAATCTGAAAGCCATGGGATAAGTTACTATGGGAAATACAAATTCACTTGCTATTCAAAGAGGTTCCTCCAAACAACATGAAGTAGAAGAAGATATTACTCTTGGGTGAATAGAGTGGAATTCCTGGTGTATAACGTTTTCCAGAAATTCAGTATGCAGCTAGTAAGGAGAATAGGGAATCATTTGGTGTGTGGCCTCAGACAAACCATTTAACCTGTTTGAGCCTCAGCTTCTCATATATAAAAATGAGCAGATCAGGGGCGCCTGGGTAGCACAGTCAGATAAATGTCCCACTCTTGGTTTTAGCCCAGGTTGTGATCTCAGGGTCATGAGATCGAGCCCTGCATTGTCTCCACACTCAGCACAGAGTCTGCTTAAGACTCTCCCTCTGCCCCTCCTGCTTCTGTTCACTCACTCTCTCTATATATAATAAATAAATAGATCTTTAAAAAAAAATGAACAGATCAGGGGCACCTGGGTGGCTCAATCAAGCGTCTGCCTTCAGCTCAGGTCATGATCCCGGAGTCCTGGGATCGAGCCCCGCATCAGGCTCCCTGCTCCGCAGGAAGCCTGCTTCTCCCTCTCCCACTTCCTCTGCTTGTGTTCCCTCTCTCGCCGTGTCTCTCTCTGTCAAATAAATAAATAAAATCTTAAAAAAAAAATGAGCAGATCAGTGTGGAAAATATGGAGGAAACATAAGGAATTATTACCGTTATAATCGTGTGATTTATAGTAAATCAAAAACAATACACTCTATTTTTTCAGAATTGCTTTTCACAGTTTATATATGTTTTCACATACAGCATCTAGCACAACTCCTGGAATCAAATAGGCACATGATAAAGGTTTGTTGAAATGAATTAAATGCATAATGTCATGTGTAGTTATTATTCGCATCCTTATTTTATCCCCATTTCACAGATAAGAAAACCAAGGAACAAATACTTTGTAGATAACTTGTTTCAGTAAAGGCCACTTAAAGCAGGTTTGGGCCTTGATTAAAATAATAATAATGATAATCAGAGCCCTCAGCAAGGGAAGACAAGTTAAAAATCATCAATAATTAGTACTGGCTTCCTTTTTCATTCATTGGTTCTGGTTTAAATTTAAAACGACATGTAATGGATGATAGGAGTGATGGTCCAAACTCCTAAAAAGGCCTAGAACTTCTAGGACTGGATTTCTTTTTAAATGACACACCAATGACAGTTTGAAAATGCCTGTCCCAGATCTCATCAAAGCACTGGGTCATATCCCAAATCTATTTTAGGAGAGTAAAATGTAACTGATGGAAGATACGTTGTGATCTAATTCATTGTAACAAGAATGAGCTTCATGGAGCAGACAAAAAGGACTTGCCTGTTTTTCCTAGGGCAACTTAATGTCTCTGGATCTCTAAGCCTCATATTCCTCATGTGTCCATTGGAGATAATAATCCCTTCCTTATGGTGGCGCCTGGGTGGCTCAGTTGGTTAAGCGACTGCCTTCGGCTCAGGTCATGATCCTGGAGTCCCGGGATCGAGTCCCGCATCGGGCTCCCTGCTCAGCAGGGAGTCTGCTTCTCCCTCTCCCGCTCCCCCCTCTTGTGCTCTTTCTCTCTCTCAAATAAATAAATAAAATCTTTAAAAAAAATAATAATAATAATAATCCCTACCTTATGGGGATGATATAAGGACTACAAATCATGCATAAATGTCCTATTAAAGAGCCTTGACTGGGGTAGATGCCTAATTCGTGGTAGCTATAAGAACACCATTCTTCAAGATCACCATTTAACTCTACCCCTCAGACAACTCTCCAATTACTAAGAGAGTTTTGCAGTTACATTGGCCCTAAGAAAGGAGTGCCTTGAACAGCTGACACATGTATCCCTGTTATAGGAAAGGTAGATGTTCCTTAGGTAATAAAGTTGTGTCTGATGACTTAAATCTGCGTACTGACAACCAACAGATGCTGCTCTCATGTACATTATTTCATTTAATCCTCACAACAACCCTATGGGGATTATTATTAATTTTGTTTTACAGAAGAGGAATTTGTCCAAATTCATAGTGACAAAGCTAGAAATTATACATAGGTCTTCTGACTTAAAAGT